ACCTTCAAAATATTTTCTCTTTTTTTTTAAAAGATTAACAAGAAATAATATTAATTAATTGAAAAACACAGGAAAAAAAAATATATTTACTGCAGTTTTCAAGAAAAGTATTTTATAGAAATAAGAATTTTCAACAAAAGGAATAATGATATAGAAAGAAAAAGGATGAAGAAGATGATGAAATGATAGTTTTTTTTTTTCCCAAAATTAGTTAGTGCATTTAATATTTTGTGTAATATTGAAGAGGACAATTGGTTTATTGTCACGTTGAACTATAATTTTAGAATAAGTAAAGAAGGTAAAAAGAGAAAGTTTATAATGCAAAAGGTATTTATAGTATAATAAAATAAAAGTGATGCATTGATTAGCTTTTGGGCTTTTTTATCAAGTAGAATGCGAATATCGTCTCCCTAGCAGTGTCAGACTTGTTTCTCTAGCAGTATTAGACTTGTTTCTCTAGCAGTACCAGACTTGAACTCTTTGCATATATTAATTGTGATAAATTGTTAGTCAAATTTAGGATAAATTGCAAAAACTCCCTCAACCATAGATTACTGTACTTTCTTTTTTTCACCTAACTCTTTAAAGTATTAAAAATTCTGCAAATCACTCCTATGTCCTTTGAATCCACGGAATAGTAGTATCGCATGCATATGTCATAATTTCGTAGATTACCCCCTCAATTTTTGTTTTTGCACATAACCACCTCAAAGCATTAAGAAATGCTGCAAATCACTCCCCACAAATCCTTGAAAGTTGAGAAGGGTTATTAACTTATCATTATTATTTTCTTATTGTTGTTTACCCTATATTGGGGGTCAGTTGTATTACCTACATCAATAGAGATTATTTGCAAGTTCTTAAACGTTGAACGATATATATATAGTTTAATTACCCTAAAAATAAAGTAATAGTAGTATATAGTTAGTCCATTAGATCATTTGTTTTATATAATAACTGATAATAATTGCTTTGAAAGACATGCTAAAGAAGTCATTACTTTCGCTCATTAGCTTTGTTGAATGGTTGAACAAAATTTGGGAATTAAAAAAAGTTCCTCACTAGCTAGCTAGTTCCTAATTAGTCAATGGTAGATGCTAAGGCAAGTCTTTCAACATTTAGTATTGAATGGTTGAACATCATTTGTTGGTCACTGTCGCCTGTGTGAAACCAAAATTAACTTCCATTCTGATCTTTCTGTCTACGCCAACCTCCATTTCCATCAATGAGAGTGATCCCCACATTGCCTCATTTGACTTGTCAAACATGTAACAGACAAATATGTACTCGCTCCTTCCTTCAATACATATCCATCTTTCTATATATTGACAGTGATTGAATGGGATTTAGATCTAGCTAGATACTGGGGGAAAATTACAGTACAGCCTTGAAACCCCAATCACTCACACGTCATCATCTGAAATAATAATAAATAAATAATTAAATACAATCCAATTATTGGCCTTAACGAACTCTTCTTCTCCAAGGTTAAAAGTTTAAGTCCTCTATGTGACAATATATGAAATCACCAACTATTATATATAATTTTGTATTGATTATGTTCACGGGATAGAGATAAACATACTCCAACGACTAACATCTCCTCTCCGATTCCCCTACTGATTCTACCCACTAGGGTTTAAGACCTTTGCACTTAAGGGTTCGTTAAATAATTGATATAATATGATTGTAAGGTTATATATATATGTATAAAATTAATAAGAAAACTGTAAAACAATTTAGTGTTAGGTTCAGTTGGATAGAATATGCCGGGCTGTTGAGTCGTTAGAGGTTAGGACCTGTCTCGTTAGATCCCAACATTATTGCGAGTGGCCATGAACTTGAATGACCTGTGTGGGACACAACCCTAGCTCGTTTGTTGCCACATTTTATTCATTGTTTTCATCTGATAATCCTCTGTGTCTATCAGAATTAGGATTCTTAGCTATCATTAACGTACATCTGCTAATGTTATAACTAGAATAATTTTAGATGATGTAAGGGAACATAAAAGTTTGGTGCAATAGTTAGGTGACCACGTCTTCAAATTAATAAAGATGGCTTAATAATTTCAGATGACTTTTTCATTCTATAACAATTTCATTGAACTTTTATTTTGAGATCTAAGTGGCGACTATTGTAATATATGATGTTTCCCTTTGTGTCTTGTCAAGCCATGATTACTCAATTAAATGGGGATGATACCGTTTAATTTTCTTTCTCAAATTAAAATAAGAAAGTTTGCGCTTAAGTCTTGTTTGGCAATTGCTTCGCTTCATTATACTGCAACGAAGCAAAATACAAAAATGTGTTTAGTAATATTTACTATGTTTTGAATAGTATTAAAAAGAGACTAAAATTAGAAGTACCAAATTGGTATTTCTAGTTGCTTTTGCACTGTAGCAAAAATAATGTAATTATGAAAACTTGCAATGCTTTTTTACCAAGCATGTTTTCATTTTTTTTGTTTCCAAAAATCTTATAACAAAATATAAAGTTGTTTTTTTGAATAATATTAAGAGTAATGATACTTGCACCGATTAGTTACACCGAATCATTGTACCGAATGTTTCTGATTGGTTATTTATGTATAGTACGATCTCACTTTTTATTTATTTATTTTTTATTAGATCGATTAAAATAAATAGTGACAATTGGTGGTATCCAGGGACGGAGACAATGAAGGACTAGGGGACACAGCTCCCTGAGTTGGCCCGCACTATATAATATATGTGGTAATTTTTATAATTTTTTCCGTATATAAGCAAAATTATATAGTGTCCCTCTAAATTTTGTAGTTCCTAAAATTAGCTCTTTATTTTTTCTTTTACTTTTCAAATTTCTTAATAGAAAAAGTCAAAATTTCCTTCCTCAATTAAAACATTTTAACTTTTTCCTTTTAAAGTTCTCCCATTTTTCTTTCCTTTTTCTTTTTCTACATCTACTCTTAACATTTTTCTTTTTAATGTGCATATTTGAATAATTTTTTTCTTCTTTATCTTTTGAATTTTATAATTGTTATATTATATATATATATATATATTCCGTATTGTTTTTTTTTTTTTGGGCAACATGCTCCTCTCACTTGAAATCCTGACTCTGTCTCTGGTGGAATAGGATGTTCGGACACTTCTCGGATATGTAGATACAGTTCAGACACATGTCGTATACGATTAAAAGTATTCTGAATAGTAAATATTTTATTTTCTAATTAGACATGGCTAAGTTGATATTGTAATTATTTTTATATACAAAAAAATTCAATTCAATCTAAAATATATTATGAATTGATTAAAAACAATAATATAAAATTTAAGAAAACAAAAATAACAAACATCTATCTCCAAATTTCAAATTAGTGATTTATTTATAATTTTATAGATAAAATTGCAAATAAATATATTATTTATCTATATATAAATATATATAATATTATATTTTTTGATACATCCATACAACACTGTATTATATTTTTTGATATATCCATACAGCACTGTATTATATTTTTTTATATTATATTATATTGGTATCCTGTATCTATATCCGTACTAAATTTAGAGTCGAAACAAAAACACCCAAAAAAATTGGTTGTCAAACATGCCTCCTTGAAAGTTAGAACAGGACAATTAAATACTTCCTCGTGAGTGTACATATTTATCATGCTAAAATGCACTTAATTTGAGCAAGTTGAACAGATTTGGATCTTATTCGTGTAGACCGTACACATATATATAGATAGGTCAAATCACGTTAACAAATTTCTCCATCAGAATCTTTGCACTACTTATTTGTTTAATCATGTTAAGTCATGTTTGAGTATCATCTCAAGAATTGTCGCCTTTACTTAAACAGTTAAAACCTATTCTCTTAAGTAATTACTATATTTAAAACCAAAAAATTAAATCTACAATAAACATAATATTGACAGAAATACATCATGCATGGTGTTTTAAACTCAATATTCTCAACTGGAAATTTTCAATAGGAATCTAGAAATTTTCAAATAGGACAATATATAATATGGTAACAAATTTTGGTTTAATATATATACACACACATATCTGTATACATATTTACATTTTAAAGTTATGTAAATTTTGCATATTTAGTAAGAATGAGTGAAAGAAATGGTTAGGATTTTTTTTGGCTTATTGGTTCAGGGTCAAGCAAGAAGATAGAGAACGTCGAAATTTCTCTTCTTATTTTTGCCTTGGAGAGTAAAATAGTCATAATTTTGTATCTATATTATTTTGTTATTTTTTCATCTTCTAAAAAATTATTTTAATTTTGTATCTATATTTTTTTGTTATTTTTTCCTCTTCTTAAGTTTTAACCCTTAAATTTCACTTCTAATAATTAAGAGTTGTAATCAAGTAATATATAATTAACCTTTTAAGATGCGAAGTGAGAATTGAGTTACATATCACTTAAAAAATTAGTGTTATTTGATTGCAGTTGAACTTTAAAAATTAGTGTTATATAATATATAATCAATCTTTTAGAGTTGAAATTAGTGTTATTTGATTGCAGTTGAACTTTAAAAAATATCACTTTTAAGTGATTATTTTAATTAAAATCAGCCTAATTTTATAAAAATTAATTCGTAAACCCTCTCCATTTATTATCCATCACATTGAGCTGTAAAATTTGATTTTTGAATAAATTTTTAGCATGAAGATCCAAAATTGCCCTTTGGCGATGTATAAGCCATGTAATTTAACATAACACATCTGGCACACAAGGGAGGGTATGTTTGTAATTTAATCTCGCAAAAAAAAAAGTACTGTAATTTAATATACTGTATATAATTGAACAATTTGATGTTAGGATTGAAAAGGGAACATAATAGATATTATGGAAACAAGGGAACAAGTTGATAAATAATGATTGAAATTGGGAAACATAAAATCCTACAAAAAATGATATTGCCAAGGCATTGATGTGGACATAAAGGTAACCTCTTCATTCGCAGCCTTCCTTGGCAAAATCGTCTCACAGAAAAATGATTCTACCAAGGCGACATCAATTCTCGAAGGCCCGCAAAAAGTCTGGAAATAAATTCCCTTAATTGCCAAGTAAAGCAGGTGGACTCTCTCTCTCCTTCCTCACTCTCTCTCTCTCTCAAACAAAAACAAGAAGAAGCTCTTCCATGGAGTTGGGAACGCCAATACTAATATATCTCTTTAAATGAGTCCCTCTCTCTCTCATATTTTTTGCAGCTTTAAATTTTCTTGTTTGAGTCACTGAATTTCTTGTTTACTCATTACTGTAGTGCCTCTTTACCTCTATTTACTTCTCTGCTTCCATTTCAATGGATACCAATTGACCATGAACATGTCTACTTGTTTCTTGAGAGGTTTTTTTCGTTATATTTACATGTTTCCACACATTTCTCTCGTTTTTCGTCTGTATGGCTACTGGGTGTTCTGAAATTGAAGATTACACAATTTTATTGGGACTCAAAGAGTAGATATGATGGTGGATTTTTTTCGATTTTGTACAGTGCTAATGGAAAAAATCTTTAATGGTTATGCATACTCTGATAAGTAAAAAGTTCATTCGAGGCTTTGGGAATTACAATTCGAGGTGGTCGTTGGGTAGAAGTGTAGAACAGGGATAGATTTTTGGGCTTTTAGTTTGGTGGGTTTGTGTGTTCTAATGGAGTCTTGGAGTTATGTTTCTGAGGGAAAGGGTTTTGTATCTGATGAAGCTATTTCAGGTACTGATGCGATTTTGAGAGGTAAAAAACAGTTTATGGATTGGGAATTGAAAACCCCATGTAGCTATGGAAGCAATATAGTAGTCTCAGGTCAAGAGGGCATTGAGAATCAGGGATTTGTGAAATTGGGTTTCTCAGAAATGACGAGAAAATCGTTGCCCAATCACTCAATTGGGGATGTTTGGAGTAGTAGTGGTGGTGGAAGAATGATTAATCCAATTGGGTCTACACCAAATGCATTTTCCGGGGAGGAGGAGTCCAGTTCGAAGCTATCGAGCTCGGTTGTGGAATCGAACAGTCGTGATTCATCGCTTATTGATTTGAAGTTGGGGAGGTTTGCTGATCATAGAGATGCTAATGTTCTTGATTTTGTGAAGACAACTCCCATGGTCTCTGCATCTGAGTCATCTATGCCGGGGAAGAGGGCGAGAGCAATAGGTTTAAGTTCTCATATTCCCTTTTGCCAAGTGCAGGGTTGTAAGAAAGATCTAAGCTCCTCTAAAGACTACCACAAGAGGCATAAAGTTTGTGAGGTTCACTCAAAGACCGCCAAAGTTATTGTCAATGGCATTGAACAAAGGTTTTGTCAGCAATGTAGCAGGTTAGTCCACTTTCATTCACCCTTGTATACCATGAAGAGAAAAGAAAATTACTGAATTTTACATGAGTCAATCCGAAAGCAAACATGTTTCATTATATTTACCACATCTTTTTGGCGAGGAGCAGAGTTAACCTGAGTTTTTCAATTGTAAATTGTGTTAGTTTTTTTTTATAATATATATGTTTGGTAGCTTGGAATTGGAGAAAAATCAGTTCAAACTTGAAACTAAATTTTCTTCAATTCCAATTCGAAGGCATAAATTTTATGCTAAGGAACATAGCTACGGGATTTTCTCAAATTTGCTTTTTCACCTTTGGTTGGTCCTAATTCATGTTTCTTATATCACTCTTTGTCTACATTTGGCAAGAAGTAGGTTGATTTTAATCTTTTAATTTCTAAATCTGTATAATAAATAGCTGTTTGTATTTCTTAAATCAGATTTGTGTTTTTGGGAGAAGGTTAACCACCATTTTAGAAATATAAAGCCTAGTATCTTTTTCACATATTGGTCTCAAGCTTGGTTCAATAACAAACAGCATAATTCTTATTGCTAGTATAGTTTATCCTAGCTTCTGACCATACAGGTTCCATTTGCTGCCTGAATTTGATGATGGTAAGCGCAGCTGTCGTAAACGTCTTGCAGGCCATAATGAGCGTCGAAGGAAGCCTAATGTGGGTATTCACTCTGGCAGAACTGGGAAGTTGTTTCAGCCATATAATGGTACTAACCTTTTCTGGAGTTTGGAGTTACTTTTGAACACCCCCACCCAACCCACCTGCACACCATCCACACACAAATAATAATAATAATGAATGAATGAATAATATAAATGCTCTCTCCTTTTGCACTTAGTTGAAATCTAAACTATTTTGTTGATTCATTTAACCGGCCATTCCTTACAACCTCGCTACTTTTGGCTTTATATTGATGTGGTACAATAATTTCATTGTCTGTTAGCCAAACATGACTAGACATTTTTGAGTATGATTAATAATCTTGCTACTAAGTATCTAGGGTGTATCATCTTCCTAGCATATTTAGGAAAAAAAAAAAAGTGAGCTACTACTTTTTGGTTTCATTTGGTCCTTTAGGCAATAATTGTTTAAACTACTCTCATACATTCAACTGCTCTATGGTTTTAGTCTAGCTTTGTCATATTGATAGAGAAACTACCCTTTTGATATCCAAATTGAACACTTTAACAAACAACAAAGTCTCCGTATCTTTTACACTTAAAAGTCATACAATTCTCTGGGATTTTTATTATATTTGGGTGCTCTAAACTTTAAATTTGTTCTACTTTCTTGAAAAGCTACAGTGGATATGTTTTGAAGCCCATAACTTCAGCCAAGTGCAAACAGGATTCTTATTCATACTTCATATTTGCAATTTGTTTTATTTACGATTTTGTGATGTTGGATACATGTCAAGTTGACAAGAATGTTTATATGTGTCCAACTAGTCAGCATACAGCATCCTCTCTGAGGGAAAAACCTCTTGAAGAACTCATATTATCTGCTTGAACCTGTATTATCCCATATATTATCTTCTTTTATCCGAAACAAATTCCTAAGAGGTACTTAAACTCCCTTGTAATATGAAAGGAACTGACAAAATCATAAAGTGCATTACCCAGTATAATTTCTGCATATGCAAAATGCTGGAGCGGAAGATCATAGCGAAATCTGATCATTTATTTTGCATAAGGTGTCTGCTTGGATAATCGAACTCAGTCGTCAGACCGGTGAGCTAGAGTTTTTATACACCAAGCAATGACCCCCTAAAGAAACTGACAAATCCTTGATGTATATTATTCACATCACCAAGAAGATCTCTAGAAACACTGAAACATTAAGTAAATTTCAAACCTTTTAGGGATCAAAACTTGTGATCCACCTTCAAACAACCTTCTCAAGGTTTGACCATGGAAGTTGGGCAGGCTCATCCAGTAGGACATATTATTCTTTATGTTAATGTCAGATGTAGTATTTTCCTTCATGAATAGGTCTAAAATTTTGGACAAAGCTGCTTCAACCCCTTATTCACTCTCTAAGGCATACTGCATTTACTATGGAACCGTAGAAATTCAAGTCAAGTACTAGAACACTAGGTTGAGCAGTTAGCTAATCTTAAAAGGCATAGCAATGAAAAGTCGGAGTGCCAACAAGTCAGAAATGAGCTATGTTAATAAGAAAAAAATTCTGAAGCAAAAATGAGGCAAGTGATATGCAACCAAGAGCACCCCCTCCCCAGCCCCCAAAAGGATGACATGTAAGAAGCAAATTGTATAACAGATAATGTTGTCAGATAAAGAAAAAAAAAGGGGGGGGTCTTGTAATATTTTAGAAGACAATAAATTTAACTTATTTTTCAGGGATTCAATACAAATACTGAGAACCATATAGTATTACATATTGATCTATGTGTTCCCATATTCTTTATTTTAAGCTTTTATGAGTGAGATAGAATATCACTTTTATGTTGTAACTCACATATTTCAGATGCAGAATTACACATGCATTTACATATAAATATGTCTGTTGATTACTGTAATAAGCTCCCTGAATTTGTGAAACTGTTTAGACTTTCCCGTACTCCATCAAACATGACCCGAGCCTATTACATGTAAACCAACAATTTAGATTATCTATGGATGGATCATGGATACTCTTATTACGCAACCAATATCAAATTTGCTTGTAATATTATAGCAAAAATGCTCCTTGTTTTTCATCAACCAATATCAAATTTGTTTGTAATATGTAACACAATAGCTCCTTCTCTCTAATGTGCATTTCTTTTGCCCCACTAAGATTTATCTTAAGTTTTCTGGCATGCTTACCGTATTTTTGCAATTGCTTGATGAAAGTCGATCTGATTCTGCAAAAATACTACATAAATCGACTCCAGATAAATTGACATTTAAATTATTCAATTTATCCTATGGTTGTATTCTAAAACTATAAATCCTGACATTATGCAGGTTCTGCAGATAGTAGGTTTCAGGGAACCACATTAACAGCAACGTCTTTTATTTGCCAAGATATACTCCCTAGCAGCCTAATGCATTCGCAGAAATCTGAGACAAATGACTGGTGCAGGCATATGAAAATTGAAGATGGGGCTGATTATAGTCCCCAATCAGCTATTCCCATCAGAAATGGACACTTGCATCCAAAATCCATTTTGCCTTGTTATGCTTTTGAAAAACAATCGCCTACTATCCAGTTGAATGGAGTCAATACTACAGCAGCAAGCAGTTTTAATGTGAACAGTTACCAATACCCAAATGATCTCATGGGTTCCAACAACTTGATAGGAAGTGAAGGCTTCACTGGTTTCGACTCAGCATCAACTGTTCAAGGGCTGCCAGAGATGTCAGACTCTGGTCGTGCTCTCTCTCTTCTGTCATCTCAATCACATAATTCTTCAAGCCACTCGTCAAGAATTCCAATGGCTCATCCCCTAATTATACCACACAACCATGTTCATAATGATGCAAGTCAAGTATCTGGAAGGATTTTGGGAGTTGGGTTGCAGGCTTCAGCTAGTAGAGTGTCAAATAAGTTCCATTTGACTCAGATGAATTCCGCAGAGGAGAATCACACGGGTCCCATCATTATTTCTGATGATAGTGATGTTATCAACTTTGGAATCTCTGATGGAATTTTCCAAGGGTCAGAATACATGAATGTCAAGGACCGTCTTTCTTGTGAAGATGGGCCCACAATCAATTTGCTTCAATTGTCGTCACAGCTTCGGCGAGTTGAACATCAAAGGCAATCCGTGCAGGTGAAGCAGGAAAATGATGCTTTCTATGGTCACAGAATCACTTAAGTGGTCTAGGGACAAGGTAATAAATACATATTTTTTAGAAGTTCCATTTCCATATAATTTTACTGAAATGGAAACACCCTACATGAGTATTATTTTCTTAAGCATACTAAAATATCTGTGAATCTACTACCATTTACTCTCACGATATTACATGCTTACTAGGATAGATATGTGGGGTTATCAGACTACCAGATTGAGCTCATTGACATTTAACCCATTCTTTTGGCCAGATGATGAAATTGAAACCTACTGTGCTGGAAAGAACACAGAATTAGTATAAATACAGGATATGTCTTTGATAGCCATATTTTTGTCACCTACCCCTATTAGGAATGTATGACCAAGAAAGAGGGAACGTAATTTGTGCTTTACCGGAGGTCTTGCATGATCCCTGCTTGATATGTTCTTTCTGGCAATGTTGCATAGAAATCCTATTTTTCCCCTTGATTCTATGTATCCAAGAATTTTAGAATTTGATAAATTTAACAGCCACACATGCACACCTGCACCCCAAATGCATTGTCTGTATCATAGCTTTATAGGGCTATTCCAATGCACGAGGCTCCTGCCATTGCGCACACAGCCTTACCTCTGCATGCATAAGCATGCAGAGAGGTTATTTTCTTGTTTCGAACTTGTGACCTCCAAGTCATAATGGAGCAATCTTACCGTTGTATCATAAAGGATCAAAGTAAAACAAAAAAAAAGAAATAAATAAGAATCTTAACAGAACCTGATAGCATTCTTGAAGAAATTTTTTATAGCAGTTCAGATTTAAATGTTTGTGATGTAAACAACATTGATCCCTCTTGTTGTATCAATTTATTTCATAATTTGTTTGCAAGAGGTGGGGATCTGCTTTTGAGAGACCATTATTAACTGATGTGAATATGTTCTATTATCAACAAATATGTTAATGTGATTCTGCATTATTTATTTGATGTTTTATATTAGCAGAATGAGTTTTAGGAAATTATTCCGTTCTTTCAAATTTGAAGCAAAAGAGGGGAAATTTTTTTTTCGTCTTTGTTAAGTAATGTTGAATGCATTTTTTTCTTTTGGTAGTTTTGAAAAGTACTTCTCCTGAAAGGAGATATTTCTTCATAGATGATACAAAATCGTCTTCCTTAATCACTATGATACTTAACAGCACACCCCCACTACCATCCTGGAACTGCCAACATGTCCACCTCTTTTTCGCTGTCACTTGCACCATGCCATCAGCAGAACTCCACGACCTTTTACTGTATCTAACAATGGTGGCCCCATTAACAAAGGCATTAACACTAGCACTTGTTTAAGACTGCCCATTGCCTCCTTCACAACCACCATCTCCGTGCTCCACCGCCTTCACCACTAGAACTGTGCTGCCAAAGGCTCTATACCACCAGCTTCTGCACCAATCTTGATTCCATCCTTAATCAAGTCCACATGCTTTATTACGTTACTTGATTAAATCTGATTCTGAAGTAAACATGAGATTTTTTGCTTTGAACTCTTTCAATAAAACAGGTTATATTGCTTCCTTTTCTTCAGAATTGCTTTCAAATATCATATTTACGAGGTGCTTACCTTATATTGAGTAATTAGAGGCCTGAGTCGCCTGACTATTCTTTTTGTTTCTTCAAGCATGACTCCGATTCATTTGCTTTCAAAAAGCTCAAAACATGAGTTATTATAAATAATAATTATTATTAGAAGTATTATTATTTCCTTTTCCAATTTTTATTCGATATGCTGTCATAGAGTCTCATGGCTCTGTTGTATGATATGGAACAGTCCTCACAAAACTAACAAGATCACCTAAGATTTAAATGGGTTAGTTTGAATACACTTTCATCCAACAGTTCTGAGGTTGTACAACATAATCACTTTACCCATAATTAACCATAGATCATGGATTTATATAATCAACTTCATGCCATATGGAAACATCACCTCATCTAAATTAAGAAATAGATCGTACCACTAGTACATAATCACTTTGTGTAATCCTACAATTTTAAACTTGGTTTTTTTGGTAAGATTAAATTGTTACACTTGTATTGAAACAGGGGAGTCACCGAAACATGCAGCAACTAGGGAAAAAGCTACATCCAGCCTTCTCAAGTAACACTCATGGGAGCGCTTGGAAGCCGTTGTGAAGAACCTTTGGCTTCTATTGTAACCCTCTCAGCTTCTGCCAAGTACCTATTACCATCTACTGGTACTCGATTATATCTATATAATTAAGAAATCAACTCCTTTTGTTTTTATAACTGAAGACTCTTGACTTCATTCTCACTTGAGTATTAACTTGTGAGTTCCTTAATTTGCTTAAATCTTATTCTCTGTGCGTCTACCGAGTGAAGATTAGATTAATAATCCACAATTCAGGCTATATAATCTTTTAGAAACCATTGTAAATGGATACTAGAGATGTGATTATCTAAATGGTCACATTGCTTTCAAGAGGCTAAGAAAGAAAAGGGTGATGTTTTTATTTATTTATTTAAGTTACAGAAGAAGCAGTGCTATACACTTAAATATGCTCTATCGGAAATTTGCGAATCAAGATTCTGTTTGGTTACAGCTTTAGAAGTATTTCTCTTGCACGTGGGAGGAAATGTTTAGAAGTTGGTTGAATCTAAATCAGTCTTGGCCACAGGAAGTGATTTGCACATGAAGCAACAATCTTCTTGTGTTTGAAGCTCTTACTCCACCCTACATTATTCATTTATCATGATACTAAAATATTCTAAAAGCTACAAGTAAATGTTTATATAGAAATATATTAGGAGGAATTAGTGATCTTTAATGATATGAAGCCCATGTGACCATGTTAGGGTTTTGCTGGCAAAACAATTTTGAAACTAATTTTATCTTCCTATTGTTTAACCCCCTCACTCTCGAGATACACCTGTATTGATGCAACCTCTGCCACCCTTCTATTCTTGTTTAATCGGCATGTTGGCCAATTTCAGCCGGTGTAAACTGGAAACATGCCATGCTTAACAAACTCTCCCATATTCAAAGCCCTAAAAAGAGAGGGGTGGTGAGTCATATCACTGTTTGTTGGGCTCTTAAAGGTTCTTGTGAAAAAAGAATTTTCTAAAAACAAAAACAGTTCATAATCCTTCAAATGGTCCAACCACGTGTCACTATTGGCTTAGTCCATTTGGGCCCAAAATAGGTGTAGGATTTAAAAGATGGTCTAGCGGGTTCTCCATGTAGTGTCACGTTTTGTATGCTCAATGCAATTAAGTTGTGTTTTAACTTTTACTGTAATACATTACTTCCTTTTAACAACATTTTTGAGATTCTTTTTTAGAGCATTTTTTTACTTTTGCACCCTATAAATCTATTTTCATTAATTCAAGAAACACACACACACACACCCATATATATACACACACTGATTCTTGAAAGTTCACCGAGCAGGCCCTTAAATTGTGTAAAAATTGGACATAGCTCAGCCAAATCAAAACCACATAGTACTCTCGTTAACAAGCTGCCAAAATCAATCCCAAGTGATACCAATAGCTGGTGAGCTGCAATCTTCACTATCTTTGACATTTTGGAAAGCAGTCAATAAAGTAGAGATCTAAATTTGAAGGTTTTTCTAGGAATTTCATACTTTTACTTTGACCCGTCGATAATCACAAAGTTAGGCGTTGGCACAATTCAAAATCCACATCCTGAGCACTCAAAAACACAATAGAAAATTACCTAACATATATTCCCAAAGATACACTGAGTTTTCAAAGCACATTATTTTTTCAATAGTAAATAATTAGTAAGAAGTAATGCTCAGATCTAATTCTATAAAATATGCAAAGCAAAGCATCAAAACAGCTTACAGGCAACGCAACAAAAAAAAAAATCTAAATTATGAATTTCCCATCAATTTTTCTTTCTTGTTTCATTTACTTGCAATCCTTCCAATATCCATATTGTTAATGCACTTGGTTTTAAAAAATTTCAATAGTAGGTTTTGATTATAAAGTAGAGTAAGCAAGGGAAATGGCAGTGAGCTGGGTAACCCAGTTAGTAGAGACAGTCCTTGAGTTGTGCCAAGTTCAACTCATCCCATCCTCTCTCCTCCCCTATATATATATATATATATATAAAAGGACGCCAATGACATAAATCATAAACACCTTATGGTCCTCTTTACTATTTTATAAAGTTGGTCAACAGATAATAGGAAAGGACTTAAATCATAAAACTCTCAATATTATCATTTTTTTTTTATCATAAAACTCCAACTTGTTTGTACAAACCCTAATAGTATTACAAAATTATCACTTTGTTCCAATTCTCTTAGTTTTGGACATTAACCTAGCCTGTGGTCTTCACATGCATTGGCAATCAAATTTTAGTGACAAAATTACCCCTGCAAGAACATGTGTCAACCATAAAACCCCTACTACTTTTAATTTTTTAATCATAAAACCCCAACCCGTTTCTAAAAACTCCAACACTATTACAAAGTTATCATATTACCCCAATTCTGTCAATGAACCGTTAAGGACTTGTTAAATGACTAAATTACCCTTTTGATATACCACTTTATTTTTAAAAAGAAATTTTATTTTTTTACAAATTACAAAATTACCCTCAAGCAAATATTATAATTTAGTTCAAGTTAAATAAAATATCTTTTGTAGAATTCATAATTTGGCAAACAAAAAACTAAATAAGTCATTCAAATATCAGTATTTATTTTATATTTTTGAAAAATTGAATCATTTTCACACTTAAAAAATTGACTAATTACTACACAATTTAAATATAAAAATAGACAACAATTAGGATAGCTAATATTTTTTTAAAAAAATATGTTTCAATGGAAAACTAATAGATTTTGGATAACCACTAAATTTTGAATAAAATTCTAATTACAAAAGTTTAATTATTATTTTGAAAAATGGAATAAATATTAAAACTATTGATTCAAAACTCAATTGGAAGAAGATTTCCAATGTTAGATTTATTCTATTTCTAAAAAATAAATAAAATGAAAGTCCTCATCTGTGTTTTAAAAGGAAATGCATAATTTGATGGTAAATTTTTTAAATATTCTTTTAATGCCTTCATTCATAAATTATTTAAAATTTTAATTCAAATGCTTCTATTATTTAATATGCTTAAGGGCATTTTTGGAATAACAAAACAAGTGTAACATCACATGGTTGACACATTTTTTTGCAGGGGTAATTTTGTCACTAAAAATATTTTGCCAATGCAAGTGAGTACTTTAACATCACAAACTAATAGAATTGAGGCAATGTGATAACTTTGTAATAGTGTTGGGGTTTTTAGAAACAGATTGGGGTTTTATGATAAAAAATTAAAAATAGTGGGGGTTTTATGATTTTAACCCATTATTTTTTAACATATCAAAAGGGTAATTTAATTGAGATAAAATAATAACTTTGTAATATTGTTAGGGTTTTATAATAAAAAAAATAATAATAATATTAGAAATTTTATGATTTAAGCCCAATAGGAAATAGGAAAAAGAAAATATATATATAGTAATAGTTTTAGAAGATTGGTCTCTTTTAACTCAATTTTCTGAAAATTGCTAAACTAGTAACCAAACAGTCCCCCTAAATATATTCCTGAAAACCGGACTCTAGTACGAGAAGTTATTGCATGGTCCTAGTCCACCAGGTCACGTAGCTTATTTGGTGAACTAGGTTATACAATCAACTTATATGGGCTCTTTATATAAGTTGCCATGTCAGATTTTTATATAACTTGCCATATTAGATTTTTATATAACTTGCCATGTCAGAATAGACAAAGAATTTAACGGAGAGAAACCGTTATCTCTCTTTCTGATCTTGTTTTCCCTCTTTCTGATTTCGTTTCCCGCTTGGATAAAATTCTCTTTCTAAGTTTAAATTTTGAATTCAAAATTAATCAATTCCAAGAATCTATTTTGAAACAAAATCAACCAACGCCTAAAATCTCTCCTCAGCATTTCATCCCCTTTTCTTCTTTCCTTTCTCATAAAAAAATCCCAATCATTTCTCACCAGAGTCGTTCTCTCTCTTCCCCTCCCCTTTATACATACACCAGTCCGTCTGTAGAGTGCACCATTACCCCATCCATTTAGTGCATTTCCCCTATAAGTTTCTGGTGCAAAAATCGCCATTGATGACATATTTTTCATTGGCAGTGTTCGTGTAGTGGAAGTGACTACGGGTTGTAGTTTGGGATCGGCCGGTTTGGGAAACGGGTGGAAACATTGATGGTTCAGTCTGTCTTGCTTCCTCTCTCTAGAATTGTCTTTCTTTTGGCTTGCTTTCTCTTTCTAGAATTGTCTTTCTTTTGGCTACCTTTCTCTCTTTAGAAATCTCTCTTCTTTTGGCTTCATTCCTCTGCAAAAAGCCTTTTGAGATAGGTGGTTGTACTTCTTGTTCTTCACTGATGAGTATATAGTTTACTTTCTCCTAGAATTCTTAGTAATTATTATTATTTTCTTTTTAGAATGGTAATACTCAGTATTTTTTTTTTTTGTATGACATACAATTCTCTTTTGATAAGTATTTTTGAAGTCTTTAAACCCTCAATTTTGGTATAAGCCAATTATGTAATCTAATATGTTCTTAAATCACTCTTTAAATCTCAAAATCTATAGTTTGGTTAAAATATTTATTCTGGGTTTATGTTTAATTCTATGGTTGTATCAAAAAAAAATTTCTTGCATAAAAAGTTTGACTTTTGTATGTGGCATCCTTGTTATCATATTTAAGAACTTTAGCCTTATCCTTGAATCATATTTGTTGATGAAGAAGTAAATTGCCCAAGCTTACACCATAATAGGCCAATGGCAGGTTGTGGGATGAAATTACTTGCAATGCAAATCCAGAATACTTATCCCCTGCAATGGCTAATTCCATGGTGTGCTCAGGGTTTAAAATCTCACCTTCCTCCAATAACAAGAAACCACTCACAATTGCCATATTGGTGTGGCTTTGGAGCCTTGGGTTCTTGGCAAGAACACAAAAAGGGATGCTATTGTATTGTTCTTCGGCCATCTAATAATATCTCCCTCAAATAGCTAAGGTTATGAATAATGTAATTCGATTTTTCTTTCTTATTGCAACAATAAATGCATGAATGGCCTTTCGTGTATTGTTTTCCTCTACATTTAGAGAGGATAGGAAATAAGGAGGAAGATATATTGCCACTCCTCTTTTGTTATTTTGAATGATATGTGATACAAAAAATAATCAAGTATTGAGTAGGCAACTTCATGAACACTTTTCTTTTGGATAATACTGAGTAGCAAGTGCATAAATTTTTTTAAAGAAAGGAAATGTATAACAAACTGGGCTTAGCCTACAACTATAAAGGAGTATTTGAGGATCTTTACTTTCTCAATCCAAACAACAATTCAATAAGGCATTTCAATACTGGAGACAATACTTGTGCTTTGAAGAAAAGAAAAAAAACAAATATATACACACACACATATACCACTCCCTATCCCCAGCCTGCCAAACTCCATAGCACCTAGATTTAAGCATTAACTTGAAGATGTACTAATATTAAGAGAAATTTAGCCCAGAGCATGCTCATAACAGTGTTTGAAAAGCAAAACTTTGGCTTTGTAACCTATCCAGGTTTTTGTTGAATGTCCATTGAGCTATCATTTGAACCTTCCATCTCCTTGAAGATTTCATAATTACACTCTTACATATTTGCGTGTGCACAAACACTTTTGGAATGAGAAAAGAAAATCCTCAAAACAAGAAAAAAGAAAAAATGTTGCCTAATTAAAAAAAAAAAAAAAAAAAAAAAAAAAAAAAAAAAACCAACAACATTTTCATGGTAGCTATAATTTATATCAATAAGAATCTTGTTCATCAAAATGGGGATTCATCTTCCATTACAAAAACAAAGTTTATGAATCTATGGACTATTGAGCAGCGTAGCCAAGAGCAAAAGCATTGAGTAACATAACTAAAAGAGCAAAATGAACTTTTTTTCATCAGGAAAGCCAAAAGGATAGAATTATCAAGCCAAAAGGAATAGAGCAAGTGCTTATATAGCTCTTAGGAATTCCCACTATTTTCCATGACATCATTTCTCGACAGCTATAAAAATAACAAAATTGATTAAAAGACATAAAATTTAGAATATAAAGGACAATTAAAACATTTATTCACGCCTAAAATGAATGTGAAAAGTTCAAACCTGATTAATAATGTTATCAAAACTATGGCTTGCTTGATTCTGTATAACATTGTTGTATGACACCTACAAATACATATATGAAAATGATGTGTGTAAAATTTTTATGTCCAGTTGAAGCACACAATTAAATTTTAAAAAAAAATTTACCTGATTCTAATTTGGCATAAAAGAGTGTATTTGTTGAAAGTTTCCAAAAGGGCTGTTATGATGTCCAAAAACCTGTATGACAAATTGTAATAGACCTAATAAATAAATAATTATTATAAGATAATCTCTATATGAATACACATACACTTTGTGTTATATTGTACCTTATTGTGGGAGTTGGAACTTATTTGTTGAGAGCAGGCAGGGACGTGTGAAATATCTTCTCTTAGGGAATTTGTTGCCATTTTTTTTGCTTTTTTCTTTCGCTTCTCCAAGCAGCCTTTAAGCCTACCATATGTTACTCTTTTGGCCTCATACATGGAGGATCCAACACCACCTTTTCACCAATTGAGTCATTTACTTCAATCACAACATCAACTATTAAAATCACAACTATTCATCACATTCTTTGATTTAATCTTTCTAACTTCTTGCACAATTTGGTCTAGATGGCCATTAGCAATTGCAAATGTTTCCTCATCATATGCACTTAAACTCATAACGCTAAAAGCTTTGTACATGAGCTTGTTCAAGAATATTGTCTTTGGGATGGCTCGTGATACTCATCAATGATAATCCCTTCCTTTGCACCTTTTGCCCACCTCTTCAATATATTTTCACTTGGAATTTTTTGGATGGCATTAAGATTTAATATCCTTAAACTATGTCGACACAACAAGCCCAAAGATTCAAACATTTTACAACTACACCGAACAATGAAATTAGAATAATAGAATTCTACCATTTACTCTCGATGACAACCCATTTTTTTTAAAGTATAAATGACATGTGGCCTAATAGAATCAACCCGTATAACCTCTTCATTTACTGCGGTTAAGAACTCACTTTGAAACATTCTAAAAATGGTATGTGTATACACCTGAGCTGCATGTATTAAAGTACCATTATTAGGTATAAGTATGGGAGGCATACCTCTAGTGGATGAAAAATCATCACTCACTTCAATTTCACGCATTCGGCTTGCACTTTCATCGTAATGCTTCACAAATTCAGTAAGAGTCATGGTCTTGCAAATAATATGTTGAAATATATTATTTGTACTCTCACTTCTTTGTGTTGATGTAATATCGGCCGAGAATGTATCACGACTGAAAGCTGGGCACCATTTCTCAGGAATGTCATACAATTTACTCAACCATTTATTTCCTACAATGACATGTTCCTTATTTAACTTCCCCCAGGTGGACTTGAACTCTTCCTCAGTTTCACAACCATAAAAAAGCTTGTTGAACTTCTCCTTGAACCTTGGATTTGCAAACAAAGTAGAAATGTTTTGGGCCGCATTCTTCAAGATATGCCATTTACATAGGCGATATCGTGTGTTAGGTAACACCTTACGTATAGCATAATGCTCATATAAACAAGTTGAAATTCCTCTTATTTCATGTAGCTTAAATTTTTATTTTTTATATTTCACAATTAAATATGTGATGTTCAACCCACTCATCACACGTTTAACCACACATATATATGTGTGTGTGATATATATATATTTATACATATAGTCTTTTGGAGTTGGAGATTTACCACAACTTCAAATTCTAAATCATGAAATCTAGAATTCGACCAGACTGAAAATTCTCTTAATTTCATGTTTTTTTTTTTTTTTTTTTTTTTTGATGAATGGAATGTTTTTTGTTTTTATATATAAGGAAAAATGGTACAATTACAAAATGATTCAAAATCCTCCAATACAAGCCAAGAAATGGAGTAAACTCCATTATCAAAGAAAAAATCCAAGTCTAAGACTGAAATGGCAGAACATGAAAGCAAAAACAAAAACTCAATGTTTTCATCCTGCTTTGACATGAAAAAACAAGACTATGATGTTGAACAAAACCATGACAGCAGATCAACAACAAAACCAACAAAAAGCAGTCCCCAACAAATTCACACTGAACAAAACTCCAGCAATAAAGCCTTAATTTCAGGTTTTAAATATTTTAATCTACACATCTTATTTGAAATCACATTTAGAAATATATAAAGGAAGTAATTCATAAGCTTATGGGAAAAGAGGAAAACAGAACACGGAAATAATATCAATAATATAAAAATAAAAAATATATATAAATATTTTAACAGAGCAAGAAATAGAACAGAAAAATAATATCAATAATTTTCCGATAATAGAAGAGCAGGAATGTACCTGAGATGCTTATGGGTGAAAGAGAAATAACAGAGCATGAAATTTTGTTATGTTGATGCTTATGGGTGAAAAAGGAAAAACAAAGCACAGAAGAATTTGTTAGATAAGGATGGAGGTTGGGTAGGTTAGATGGGAATGGTTTAGAGAGAGAGAGATGAACTTTGGATGATGCAAAAAGCGGGAAAATGAAACCAAAGAGAACTTTGGATGATGCAAAACGCGGGATAACAAGCAGTTTCTCTCGGTTAAGTTTTTTCATCTTTTGGTGCTGACATGGTTAGCTTATATATGAGAGGTCATTTTGCCTTGACTATATAGTCTAGTTCACCAAATAAGCTAACTCGATTAAGTTTTTTTCATCTTTTAGTGCTGACATGGCAGCTTATATATAAGAAGTCATTTTGCCTTGATTATATAGTCTAGTTCACCAAATAAGCTATCTGACTTGGTGAACTAGGACCATGCAATAACTTCTCCTCTAGTACACCTTAGTTAAAGCATATTCTTTGACAAGCTGCCGAATTCAAGTGACACCAATTTTACAGCTGGTCCTGGTTAGTCATGGCAATCTTGACCACCTTCTGACTCTTTGGAAAGCCATCAATAACGTCAGACCTAAATTTGAAGTTTTCTTTTTAAAAAAAACAAAAATTATTTCTCACTTCCACTTTGACTTTTTTTTGACAATCACAAAGTTAGGCCGTTGGCACAGTTCAAAATCCACAATGCTGAAAACCCTCAAAAGGACAAACAAAAGAGACCTAACACATGCCCACAAAAAAATATACACTGATTTTTCGAAGCTCATTATCATTTCAATGGTAAATTAATAAGAAGTAATGCTCATCAGATCTAATACAATCGAATCCAAAATATTTAGTGTTCTACAATCATAGAAGACAACAAAGAAACTAATAATAATAACCTCCAACCTCAAAATAAATACTCAAGCTATTAGCTGCAGCTCCGATGAATAGGCCGATCACGACAATATGCCTAGATCTACTGGCATATTAGAGTGACTAAAAATGGAATTTTCTATTTCCCGGTGCCGTTGGGTAGTTCAGCAGATTCTCCTCCAGATGGGTTGAGTTCATCCCATGCTTCGATCCAAGTGACCATGGCATCAGCCAGCTTAAGGAAGTAGTCATCGACCTTTCCAAGCTTCGCCTTAACTTGTTTGGAGAGTTCAATGTAGCATTTCTGAACGGTGGTGCACTCCTTCGGAAGGGTAGCTGATTGGAAAAATGGGATCAGCTCCTCTTGCCAGTAGATACCTTTGTATTCCTTCTTTAGGTTCACAAATGGGTTGCTTGCCTTGCTGTGCCAGATGTAGGGCAGACCTGTCTTGATTCCCAATCCTAAGTGATCACAGATCACCTACACAGTGTATAATTAAAAAGACATGAGCAAATCTACAGCTTGATGAGTAATAACATGAAAGATTTGATTGTTAATGCAGAATTCAAGCATGAAGAAATGGTCCGGGAAATGAATGAAACTACAAGAAGTAGCGAGGCAATAATGATAAAATGAAATACCTTGGTACACCAGCCAGCCCACATGTCATCGTAGCGACCAATAGGTTGGCCATCACCCATGAGACCGAAGTACATTGCAGCGCCAATCAATTCACGGTTGAATGCCAGATTCATACCACACATGGGAAAGAGGGTTCCCTTTGGAATTGTCATTACTGCATCTACAAACCTGAAAAAGATGGCATATGATTAATAGTTCTGTTAGGGGGTAAAAAACATATAGGAAATTTTAGCTCAAGAAATTATCAGTACCTAGTGTTTCTCTCAAGAGGCTTGACAAGCTGGGTGGGAGCATCATAATCGGGGATGTTAAGCCAGAGACCATGAGAAACTGCAGTTGGGACACCCTCACGGAGACTGAATGGGTATCCACGGACGAAATCAGCACCATCTCTGTATGGATCGTACAAGGTGTTGAAGAAAAATGGTGTGGATGGGCACAGAAGATTCTTAATGTGCTGCTCGAGTGCATTAATGTCTTTGCCAGATGGATCTTTAGCAACCTATGAATCAATGAACCATTTTCAACTTCAGAATCCCATAGTTCGCTTCCCCCACCCCATAAACCACAAACTCATGAATGCTGAGAGCAATTTAACTTTAAAACGACAAGGCCAATATAATTGATCAAAACAAGCAAGTAAGAAAATTCATCTTGGAACAATACACTTATTCTGATCTAAATATATAATGCATCTTCAAAGGTTTCAAATGTAACAAACCCCCAATAGATAGACAGGTGCTAGATCGCAAGCATGTGTCATGTTAATTTGAAGCAGAACCACTAATTCTGAAAATTGAAACCTAAGCCAACCACTATCAACTAGGAAGACAAACCAGCACCTTAAATCAAACAAAATTAATTAATGATGTTCACAGTGCACTGAATTGCTTTGGCATCGAAAAAATCTGGATCCATTTATCTACACACAATGATGTCGAGGAAGAGCCAACCCACATTTGAAAAGTTACTATCAACAAATGACAAATGGAAGTCACCTCCGATCCTGTAATAGGAACTGTTATCATATGGGTGAAAAGTAAGTCATGACTGAAACCCATCAACCAACATTGCCAAATATAAACATGTTGTCAAGTAAAATGACAGATCTATAACACATGATATGATGACAACAGATGAAATTTTAGAATGATGGCTTCTTGGAAAAATATATGAATGCATGGATCACATGCTTTTTCCCCTTTTCAAGTCATAATCAGAACCTATCCAAGCTACCAAACAGATCAAACCATAATTAAATTAAAATACAATACAATACGGATCAAAATCATCCTACGACCGAAGATACTAAAATAATAGCATATAAGGTGACGATAACAAAATTTAAATTAAGAAAAAAAAAAATGAAGCACAAGCAACAAATCCAGATCCAAAATCATCATAAGAACTCCAGATCCAAAATCATCATAAGAACCCATCTTAAATTCAAATGGCCAGATCAATGATTTGACCCCAGACAAAAAGAAAAATAAAAAAGACTTAAAGTACCCACAAATCAAACTCAATCAAAATCAAATCTTTCATACACCAACTCAAACGGCACAACCGAAAATTCAACAATACCCAAAACAACACCAGATCCATCAAAATTCAAACTATCGAGCTATGACCCACAGCAAAATCAATTTGAAAAAAAAAAAAAAATGAAAGAGACTCACAAAGCAATCGTCGTCAATGGTGAAGATGTACTTCTTCTTGGAGATCATGTAGCCAAAGCATCGGCAAGCAGAGTCCTTGAATGAAATGCAGGAGGCCTTGGGACCCAGAATTCGGTTGATGTCGTTGCGGTTGTAGAGCTCGTAGTCGAATCCCTCGGGGACCTTGATGACCTTCGAAGGGTCACCATCTTGGACGATGATGAGATGGTATTGTTGGAAAAATGGCCTCCACATTTCCAAGAAATCGAGGTTTCGAATTGTGGGTATCACTATGTCTAGCTCATCTTTCAGGAGCGGCGTCGGAGTAACGGAAGCCATTGTAGGGAGAGAAAGATCGGATCGGAGATGCAGAGGAGAGAGAGGGTAAAGAGAGGGAGAAGAATTGTGAACTTGTGAAGAGGGGTGGGGGGACTTCTCGTCTTTGTATACGAAAATCCCAAGTGGGGGCACGTGCGAACAGGTGTTTCTCTATTTTCACTTTCTATTTTTAGCCGACAAACCAATTGCAGTAAATATTGGTTTGGAAAATTTATTTTTATTTGCATTTGTTTCGAGCTAAAATATTATTTTTATTTTTTAATATTTAGTAAAGATTTAATTGAAGGTTGAGACATAAATAATTTGTCATGAATAAATTATTTTTCATAAATATTTTAAGATAATCAAAAATTAAAATAATAAAAAATATTTTTAAAAAAATATTTTAAGTATTTATTTAAAAATATTTTACATCCAAACAGACAGAGCCGTTTACCTATTTTTAAGAAAATGAGTTCGTTTGGTTAATACGAATTAGTTAGAAAGGAAAAGAAAAAGAAAAATTTTAAATTTTTTTAGAAGTTTTGTTAGGATGAAAACAAAATTTTTGAAGAAAATCACTTTCCCTAACCACCTAATTTTCCCATAAATTTTTTTTTTCCAAAAAGCACAAGAAATTTTTGATTTCTTGAAAAAAATTTATAAACTTACAATATTGTCATTTCTTTTATGATAAGTTACATACTATTCAAAGCTTAAAATGATAATTTTTAGAGTGCACACAGTCCGATTTGGATTGGATTGGGAATATTTTGGGACCAAACAATTTATAATGGTTTCACTATTTTTGAAATCAGACAGTCCATGGAACCAAACCAAATCGCGAAAAACCGATTTGGTTCAGTTTATCAGTTTTAGTTGATTTCCTTTTTATTTTATTTTAATTTAGAGGGGAAAAAAAAAAATCAACTAACATTGTTGATATAATAATAAGAAATAAAGGAAAGAAAATTGAAATATATTTGAAAGGAAAGAAAATTGACATATATTTAAAAAGGGAAATTTGACTTATTTTAAAAGAAATTTAAGGAATTTAAAGAACAAAAGAAAGAAAGAGGGCACGTGAGAACTTTACTCGATTTAGGTTTAAAATATGATATACATATATAAATGTGTGTATATATATATATATATATTATAACATAGTAACGGTTCGATTCGGGCTGGTCCAGTCCAACACGACCCTAAATCAGGACCAGATCGAAAAATTACGGTTCCATAATTTTGGGTCAAGGACCGAACCAAATCGCTATACAACTAGCCCAAATCGCCAATTTAATACGGTCCGGTCCGATTTTTCAGTTTACCGAATTTTTTGAACACCCCTAATAATTTTACATAATTTTGTTGCAAACTTTCATACTAACCAAATTGATGTTGGAAACATATATATTTTTTTCTTAGTTTTGGAAACATAATTTTCCTTCACTTCCTATTATTTTCACTTTCCATCACTAGTTTCCATCTAACCAAACGAATCCTAAAACTTCATTATTTTAAAAAGTAATTTTACTTTGCACTTAGAGGAATATTTGTGTTATTTCCCCCATAGAAATAAAAAAAATTAAAGCATAAGGTAAAAATACAAATTTGGAGAACAAATATCATATCTCATTGAATTTTAAATAGTCAAAATTAATGAAAATTGTTTGAAAAAGAGTCATAATAACATAATATCATTTTGAATAGTGCCTTGTTGGTTTTTGAGTGAGGAATTGTCTAGGATAAATTTCATATAATATATGTAAGGAAAATAAAATGTTAGGATAAATAATAGGAGTGATAAAGATAGAACACAAATGCAACCAGAATTATTAGAAATTATTTACAAAGTTAATCTTAAAAGAAAGATAGACTTGTAATTAAAATATTGAAAAATAATCATTATGCGACTTATCCCATTCATGGATTAAGATAAGGATTTCTTACCACAATTTTATACTCTTGCAATTTTGATAATTTTTTATAAAGAAAATAAAGCAATTACTTATCAAAGTTGCAATGTTGATCAACTTTCGTGATGATATATATATATATATATATATATGCTTACGTTTATACTTTTATATATACATATTTTAATTCCTGAAAAAAAAAAAAGAATTGGAATGCAAATATTATTTTTAATTAAAAATTTATGTTATATTAATTTGTTACAGCCAATTATATGAGGTAAAAGTTGGGTATGAATAAAAAAAAAAAAAAGGACAATAGGAATGTGGTGTAAGGAAACTAAAAAAATAGGAGGGGTTGGCACGTGCGAGTGCGGGTTTAGCGGCATGAGTGGAGGGTCTGTAAAGACGTGTCGGAACGTTAACTTTTGGACGACTCGTTCAAAGTCACTGATGGGGCGCTGGGATTTTGTATTTTGCCCATTACAGATGACATACAGGTGTCCCAACCAATCAATGGACCTTTTAAAAGTCGAGAAATGTTACTGTACTTTCCGGGGCTTGAGGACTGCATCATCGTTCATGGGCCCTACCTGTTTTTATCTCTACGCGTGGCTGACGGCACGTGATCAACATTCGAATCTTATTCGAATATTAAATATCGGGACGCGCTTGGTCACTCTTGTCGGTTTTTAGAAGCTTTTATTCCACCTATTATTCTCGTAATTCCCATAAAATACCCTGTAGTAACAGTCGAAACAAATTTATTATTTTTGGCAACGCCTAAATTATAATACTTTGTAATTTAGCTTCTTAAAATTGCAGTTAATTATAGTGCCTGTTAAGGTAACATAATTAAGAGAGGAATGCTAACACGGTGGCTTTCTTCATTAGCTACTTAAGTTTCATTAATTATTTTTTTTCTATATTTAAGGAACATAAAAATATAACCTTCTATAAAATAAAATTAATCACAAAATTACCCTTTAAAACCTTTTTCATTACTTTTCTTACATTTAATCCTTTAATCCATATATATACTTAATGTATATAATTTATATTTTCATATATTTTTTAATTATTTATAGTTTTATAAAAAAAAATAGGTAAAATAGTTTCAGGCCAGGATGTTTTAGAGAGTAATAATTGTCACATCAAAAGAAACAAAATAAGATTTTTTTTTATTAATGTATGAATGAAAACTATAAACATTTAAAAAATATATGAAAATAAAATTTTATAATTTACAAAAAATTCATAAATAAATACTATATAAAATTTTTATGTATTATAAAATACGAAAGGTACCAACAATTTTTAGATTGTAATAATTATTACCTCAAAAGAAACAAAATATATTAAAAAAATCCAAAACTATAACTATTTGAAAATAAAAATATGCCTAAATTATTTATTTCTCAATCTTTATCTTTTTTGCATATCTTATTTCTTCATGAAATGAATCATGGTCAAGTGTCAATTCTTTTAATTCTTCCACCGCAAAATAAGTTTTCACGACTTGTTGAGTATCGTCTATCTTGAATAGAAAAAGAAAAGATTTTCCTTTACAGCTTATCACTTTGTTGCTAAATTCATCTATGTTTTACAAAAAGAACAAATATAATTTAGAGCTATTGAGAAATTCAAATGAATATATATATTTTTAATTTAATTAAAATTTTATGAATAAGGGTGAAAAATTACCTCAATTTGTAATTGTAGTAAAATCATCTAGTAAATAATTTATTAATGTTTGACAATCATTGAACACTGTTAGGGTTGCAAGTGTTCTCATATGTTCCATACTTCGCACTTTAATTATCATCATGAATCTGCATATGAGTAAAGATAAAGAATTATGTATTTGTAATATTATTAAACCATTGAAATAAATACAATAATAAGATTTTAAGATATAATAATACTTTTGAAAGTATTTTGAGTCTGTTGTGTTGCATCGATGACAGTATACTCTATCTTTTTCAACTTTAATTTCTCACACCATGGTTCGCGATCATTGACGACATTTTCAATTCTTGCTTCGAAAGAGTAATTTGTTTTCTGCAGTTGTGCAACGAAATATAATAAATTGAATATAAAAATGTGATACACAATCAAGGAAGATTAAGAAATATACTAAATTTAATACCTCAAAGAATATTGTAGATTTTCCTAATATGTCTTGAAGTTTGACTTTTCAGCACCATTAAAAATATTTTAGATTTTCCTATTATGTCTTGAAGTTTGACTTTTCAGCACCATTAAAAATATTTGATCTTTTGTACCGGAAATCAAACTTGTTATTTATGTTCTCTTTGACCTATTCACATATAAATTATCTTGTAAAATAATTAAATAAATAAAATAAAAAAACATGTTCTCTTCCTACAAATAGTTTAATACAAAAAGTGTATTTATAATGTAAAAGAAGTTACAATAAATAACGAATCAATATGTTAATGCTTTCACACTTTCAATATCCATATTAATTTGCAATGTTAAAATGTAGATCATTTAACAGACCTGGAATATACATTGTTATTTGTAAAAGTTTGTTATTACAGATTTATTTAATAATATATAATGAAAACAAAAGGCCGAGAAAGTAGTATTACACTTTATCTTAGCTAAAAGGCCAACCCAAAAAAATTTAGTACTACACTTAATCTTAGCCAAAAGGACGAGAAAGATTAGTCAAAAAGCCGAGAAAGGTGTGATTATTATTTTTTTAGGTCCATAGTTTTATAAGAGGCTTCCATGTAATCTTTTTTACTTGATACTAATGTGGGACAAGAAAAATGAATTTTATTAGGTAATTTATAATTTGAATTAAACTTTTTAAATTAATTTTTATAAATTTTATTAGGTAATTTGTAATTTGAATTAAACTCTTTAAATAATTTTTAGGTACTTTTTTGTTTATAAAAACTCTTTTTTTATATTAATAAATAAATACTGAAAGTCAAAAGGCCGGGAAAGTAGTACTACACTTGATCTTAGCCAAAAGACCAAGAAAGCTTAGTCAAAAGGCCTACCCACAAAAATTTAGTACTACACTTGATCTTGGCTAAAAGGCTGAGAAAGGTGTGATTATTATTTCTTTATATCTATAGTTTTATAAGAGGCTTTATGTAATCTTTTTTTTTTTAAAATCAATGTGGGACAAGAAAAAATGAATTTTATTAGGTAATTTGTAA